TTTAATTAATGCAACAGCGTTAGGAACAGAGATATTAAAATCATTAGTATTACCTGGTATCGGAGCATTCACTATAATCGACAATGAAGTTATAACTGAAGGGGATGTAGGTTCTAAGTAAGTTCTATACATTCTATATTTAATTTTGGTTATAATTATAATATTTTATCTTCCTATTAGTTTCTTTGTTACAGCTGATAAAATAGGAGAAAAAAGAGGATCAATTGCTTCACAACTTCTATGTGAATTAAATTCAGATACAAGAGGTCACTTTATTGATGAATGTTTACTAAAATTATTGGATTTGAATCCTGGTTTATTTAAAACATTTACTGTGGTTGTCACTACATCGCTGCATGAAAAGTATAAATAATGATATTAAAAATAATATCTAAAATGTTAAATTTATATATTAATTGAAGTTTGTATTTTTTTTTTTTAAGAGAAATAATTGATTTATCACATAAGTTATGGAATTACAATATTCCACTTTTGGTATGTCAAAGTTATGGATTTTTTGGTTCTATGAGACTTCAACTTGCTGAACATACTATGATCAAAACTCATCCAGACAACCAGAATCCTGATCTTCGATTAGATTACCCATTTCAGAAACTTAAAGCACATTTTGATACTTATAATTTAGAAGCTCTTGATCTTACAAATCATTTACATGTTCCTTATCTTGTAATATTATACAAACATTTAGAAAAATGGCGAAATGACATTGGTGATGTCAATGCACTGCCTGAAACATATAAGCAAAAACAAGTTATCCGAGACAATATAAAAAACAGTTAGTATTTTTTTTTWAAATTATTTTACAATATTAAATCAAATAAAGTTATAATTATTGCCTCTAATTAATAAAATAATATTTTTGGTAATAAAGTTAAGTCATTATAATTATTTATATAAGTATAATATAGGTAAAACTATACCTTTATAAATCAATATCAGATTACTACATTTATTTAATGTTACAATGATTATTTAATCTATTCAATGAATATATAAATAACAGTATATCAATACTTGTACTGTATAGTATAAGTATTGATGTATAACTAAACTAAATAGAAATAGAAAACTAGTTTTATTACAGAAAAACATATCCCCCCTCGCTATTAAATTGTTATTGTTATAAGTTAGTTAAAGCATTGATTATAAATTCTATTTCATATGTATTTACTATCAATTATGAAACCAATGTTTTTAAAAATTCTTTTAACTTAATATAAATTTATACAAATGTATTTAAAAATTAACAGTTAAAGAAAATGAGATCTTCTAATAAGACTTACTGTTGATAGAAATAGAATATATGAATATAACAAACCATGAGTTTCAAACAATTGAGAAAAAAAAATTAATTTTGTATAAATGTACTTATAGGCATCAGAAAACACGAAAATGGTACCTTATATCATGAAGAAAATTTCGAAGAAGCAATCCGATCTGTTAATTTTGCATATAATCGTACATCATTGTCAGAAAATATACAGCTTATACTTAAAGATGATAAGTTAATGAATTTAACATCAAACGTAGGTAATTAAAATTTCAATATTATGAATAAATTTAATTAATTATGAACTAATTTAGAGTCAACCTTTCTGGATAATGGTTAAAGCACTTAAAGATTTTGTGGATAATGAAGGATGTGGCAAGCTTCCAGTTCGTGGAACACTACCGGATATGACAGCTGATACTTTTAAGTACATCAGTTTGCAACAATTGTAAGGTTTTCATAATTATCTTTTATTGACTAAACATAGTGAATGTATTGATATATATTTTAAGATATCATGAGCAAGCTGCCAAAGACGCAGAGGCAGTCTACAACCGTGTCCAACAACTTCTTCAGCATGTTAACCTCCCTGATGATACAATCACGGAACAAGATATTAAAATATTTTGTAAACATGCATCTGAGTTATGTGTTATTAGAGGTACACGAATAGCTGATGAGTATGAACGTAAGGGAAATGCTGATAATGAGATATGTGAGTTTATTGTTAGCTATATTCAAAAATCATAGACGTGCCGGGTATGTTACTACATTTTCCTTGACTCCTAAAAAAAAATCCATTAATAATCTTTGAAAGTTTATTATTTTTTTCCATAAAGAACTCAAGAATAGTGTATTTCAAGTATTTCTTTCAAAAAATTCCCCAATTTTATCGGAAAAGCGCTTATTAGTTATTATGCTATTAATACTTAAATTATGCTTTTATTTTGGATAAAAAGTAACTTAAACACCAGTCAGTAATAATTTTTTATTTACCAATATTTTATATTTAACATAAATTTGTGATTTTATTGCTACTCCTTTTTTCTGTTTATTGAGAAAACTTAATTATTTTTGGATCTCAAATTATTGGTTTTGCATACCCTGCTAATGAAGTCTATGTCCAAGAAATGTCAATAACAAAAATTAGGAATAAGTATTTTACTACTTATAGGTTAAATTGACTATTTGTTTTATTGTTGAACATGATTTATACATATCGTTAGCTCAAAGCCTTGAAGATCCAGACAGTTTGATCGAACATTATATCATACTACGTGGTATTGAAAGATTTTATTCAGAATATTATACATACCCAGGTGAAATTGATGAACAAGTTGAACCTGATATTCCTAAGCTTAAGGTAGACTCTAAAATTATATCTCTAAGCTTTAAATTTTGTAACGATCAAATACTTTTAGTTATGCATATCAAATCTATTAAGTGAATGGGGTTGTATGTATTCCACAAAAGAGGATTATATACATGAATACTGTCGCTATGGCAAGTCTGAGTTGCACAGTGTATCTTCATTCATTGGTATGATTTTACTATTTATTTATCCTTGAATTATAACATATTATATAACACATTTGTATCAAGTGAATTACTATTCAATTTTCATACATTCACAAATACTTATACATTTATTTTCAGGTGGTTGTGTATCACATGAGATAATTAAAATAATCACACGACAATATAAACCAGTAAACAACTCGTTTGTATTTAACGCTATTAACTGTAGTACAGAATCTTTTACATTGTAATATTACAACTCTGATAAGGAATAATTTGGAGCAAAATTATATGGATACTATTTCTTCTCACATCAATAAAAAACAAACAATTTTTTTTTTTATCTATAAATAATAAATACTCATTATTTTATGAACAAGTTTTGTTTATTATTTTAGTTTCATTAAACATATTATTATTTATTACTATATCAACAGATTGTAGATGATGAATTATAACATAATTTACTTTAATGCATAGTTATGCACACTGGTGATGCATGTGAAGCCATAGCCACACACTAATTACTCATACCTGAAGCTTAGTTGTTACTGTTTTTAGGTAGGCACTTCTTAAGTCTTTCCACTTCACTGCTGAAACGTTGAAGTATTATGACATTTAAATAGAATTTTCTATTCAAGTATAGGGTCGCCAGAAGTCCTTTATAATACAAGAATGTCCCTTCTTTAAACTAAGTAACCCAACAACAGTCTTGGGACACCAATTTGTCCCATTTAAAAAAAAATATGCATTAATGATAAAAGATAAAATAAATTATATCCTGTATTGAGATAAAAAAGTGACACAAGCTATTATTTGTTTTTATAAGCTGGTTTCGAAACTGTTTGAATTTTTGTGCGAAACCATTATTTTGGAAGTTATAGCCTTCCAAAGTTTTTGCGATTTTACGTTAATACCTACGCATGCGCTCAATTTTAATTAGACTATGTTCTATATTTATATCAATATCGCTATTTTATAACTATCTCATTATTACTAAATTGTTAATTAAATTATCTTTATGATAATAACATAGACTCTATTAAGTTATTTTGCAATTATCAACAAGTAGACAGGCTAATGAGTATATTGTATACCTTGTCAGTTAAAGTAATATAAGTATATAGTGGCTCTGGTCGCCAAACTCAAGGCCCAGAGGACCTCGAGATAGATGGGGGCTCAGCCCCACCCCAGGACTTAAATAGCTAACCTGGGAGGAGGGAGGGCAACCACTTTGGGATCACGGGGGTAGGTCCCTGCCCTACGGGTAAACAAATGACCTAACAAGTTAACTGAACCTTGTTAGTTAACGTTACACACAAGTGGCTCCGGTCTTCAAACTAAAGGGACCTTCCTTCGTCTGCCAGCTACAGTCGTCAGACCTCGAGTTGCTCTTTGTAGCAGTAAATTATAAAGTGGCACGAATGCATATAAACGTAAAATCGCAAACTTTGGAGGGCTATAACTTCCAAAATAATGGTTTCCGAAAAAAAATTCAAATTCCTAAACCAGTATAAAAAACGCCCTTTTAAAAAAAAATGTTTGAAATTCATGAGGGGCGTGGTAAAAGCATTTTAGCCAAAAAAATTCATTTTAGTTAGATATATAAGCAAAGATTAATAAAGAATTAATAAAAACTAACAAGCAGGCGCGGATTGGTAAAAAAGGGCACGGGATGCTACATAATTTAAAGGACAAATAACAAAAATGTTTGAGGCAAATTAAAAATATGTGGATTATGTATAAAATATTGAAAATCGTAAATAGGTACCATATTACTACAATTATTCAAAGAAAATTATACAATATTTTATATTAGATTAAAAACAAATTAGATCAAATATATTTTAGGACAAGGATGCTGTTGCTGTAGCATCCCACCCAGTACGCGCCTGCTTACAAGTTACAAGGATATATTTATCTTTTAAACAGTAGTACAGACGTCAGACAGTTGTACACAGTACCTAACCTAAGACCTAACGAATAACGATGATCACTAGATATTAATGCAATTTTTTAATGCAAAACATTAATTTAATGGAGAAGACATGGAGACTGCTCGGACTGATGTATTAATATTTCTTAGAATGGATCATAGATGGCGTTAAAACCGCACTTGAACCAGTAGCGTTACTGTTCTATCGTTCTATGGTTAGTGGTTGCACTGTAGTTCCATAGATAACTATCTCGTTTCCAGTCATGTTTATCTTGGTCCGTGAGTCGTGACTCGTGACCCGTGTCATTTAAACTTGAGTAGTCGAGTCTGTTTTCGGGCGGCAAGACGAGCAATAATTGGTGTCCATTCCAATATTTCGAATACTATCGAATAAATCAAAACCATTGAATAGTTCAAATGATCCGGACTATCGAATAATTCGATACTACCCATCAATAGTCGTATTAGGACCAAAAGAAAAGTCATTAAAAACCGTCAAAAGACTGAAGATCGATATTTGATTTGACCGAATAATTTTAGTATATCACTAAATCATTCGGTCGCGATCCGGTTACTCGACAGATTCGTTAATTTTGATTCATTTAGTCGCGAGTCGCGACCATCGAAACTCTAAGTATGATCCCCGAACCACTCGACGTCAGGTAGGCATAGTTTATGGTCGTCCAAGGACAATTTATGATTTGCGGTTTCAGTATGGTAATATAGTCGATTATTGTCCGTGTTTCAGTTTTGTCATCGAAGAGCTTGAAAACGACGAGATCCAAGAAGGCAGTCTGACAACCGAACAGTACACCAAATTGTTTTCCGCCTACTTGTACACCAATGAACTGTGTGCCGCCAAATTCTTGTGGCGCCGTGTGCCCGAGTCAATCAAGTCCGATCCTGAATTGCATAAAGTCTGGTCGATTGGCAAAGCCCTCTGGACGAAACATTACACACAAGCATATGAACTGATTGACTGCAAGTGGTCCAATGTACTAGAGCCCATCATGATTGCAATCAAACGTCGCATCCAACAGGACACATTGAAGTTCATTAGTATGCACTATGAAAACATACAACTTGACAAATTTCAAACATTCATGGGTGTAGACAAAGAACAAGCTGAGAGAATAGTGGAAAGTGAAGGTTGGACATGCAAAAATGGTTATGTAATGCCAATAGCAATCAATGAATCCGATTTGGGATTAGGTGGTAGTCAAGATATTCTGGATAGATTAGTGACTCTATCATCATTTACGTCTTATATTGAAAATTGAATCAATTTACTGTTTGTGTATTTAATTAATTTAAGTCTGATCCTAACCTATTAAAATAAGATAGCTCAGTTTAAAATTAATTTTAATAAACAATTGATGTGTCAAGTCAGTGTATAAAAATGTAATATCTATACATAAGGTTAATATTAAATCTATATATTTTATAAATGTCTTCTTCTTTTTGTTTTTATGTTATAAATATTATACTTATATGAACATAATTTAATAAGTTAATAAACAGTTCTTAGTTATATGTTTCAATATTAAATAAAATCTATTGCATTCTAGATATAAAAACTTTTCAATTTAAAATCAAGTATGGGTTCACACTTAAAATTATTTTATTCAATTTTAAAAATTCCAGAATTTTTCATAAAATAATACTACAGTTAAATACAAACATCATTCTAATACTTATACAATTCTCACAGTATTAAAAAGTTGAAATACACACAATTAATAAGCTTTTAATTATTTTCAAATGAATACAATCAGTGGCACCGAACCTATACACTAGGAATGGTGGTGGCCACCAGGCCACCCCTTTTAAATGGGTGGATAGTGGGTTCTGTTGTTATGCAGATGAGTAAATATTTAACAAATAAAATTTGAAGTAATTGTACAAATACTAAAATATTTTACATGACTGCTGTCTGATGATAACATTGAGGCATAGGTTTAATTTAACGGTTCTGTGTGGGTGGGTACTTGGTAACTTTTTACTAGTTGGCCACCCCATTTTAAATTGAGTTTGGCGACACTGAATAAAATTATGATGAGTAAGATACATTACATAGAATTATTTATAACTTAAGTTATTTAACGTGTATGCTCAACAAATTTGTAAAAATTTCCTGTTTTAACAAATTGTGTCCAAAATAATAATTAATTAACCAATAGTTTATGAAATTGCCTATAAGTTTTTAAATGTAATTTCCTATAATAGATTCACACTTTTGTAAAAAATATTATTTACCTATTCTTACATTTTTATGAAGCTAAATGTGAAAACAAAACATTTTATGTCGCTATTAGATTGTGTGATCTTTAATAGCCATTAAAGTTAACACTATAAGTATCAAAAGTTACCTTTACAATATGTCCTTACCARAATTGTTATACGAGTTTTCTAAGTATTTAAATTTACAAAACCTCAGATTTTTATCATGTGAAGAAAAAAAACATAAAATGCTTTCTAACCACTTACATAATATCATATGTAAATTAAATAAAAATTATTATTATTAATTATTATTTAATATAATCTGTTTGGTTAAGTAATGGCATGCTCAATTAAATATTTTTATATGTGTTCTGAAATTACTATAATATTACTCTGACAAAATAACTGATGTATAACATTAAACCACAAACTTTGTTTTGTTATTAATTTAATCTAATGTTTTAAACTACATTGTAACTTATTAAACAAACTTTTTCTCGAATTATTAATATTATAAATATATAAAGTATTATCAAACTATTAAATAACATTTGATGTTAACATGAAACATTTTTTTTATTTAATGAAATGTGTACAACCTACTATGTGTATTGGGGGAAGTGACCGGCCGCCATGTGAAAGTATATCAAAAATTATGAAGAAATACCGTTTAAAGATGGGATCTAACTTTTTACTTTTAAGTTATGACCAATTTATCTTTTTTTAACAAAACCAAACCTACCAAGCATTTTTTATGTATCTCCAAACATTTTGAACATTTTGATGTAATTATTTTTTTTTTTATATAGCTAATTTATTGTCCTATCAACTAACATACACAATAAACCATAATTGTGCTAATTATTTTCATTAAATTGAAAAAATCAAAATWTTTTGTATTAAAAATTAGTAATTTTAAAAGTAAACTGTGTATYACTCCAAATAATTTAGTAGAATTTAGTATCGATTGTCAATCATTTGATTCTATTTTATTTGGTAAATATTAATAGTGTAGTCATTTTATTTTATTCAGTACATTTTACTATTTTAGTTGTTATGTTGTCTTTTACTGCCAAATAAAATAAATTTAAATGATTTACAATTACGACCAATACTTGATTCTAAGAAAWCTAAGAAGTGATGTTTAACATTATGATAATGCAAATATGGAAGATATGAAAACCAAACTTTAAATTAAAGGTATTATTCAGTAGAGTAATATAATAAAAGAATACTAAATCATTTGGAGTAATACACAATTTACTTTTAAAAATACTAATTTTAATTTTTTCAATTTAATAAAAATAATTTGCACGTTTATGATTTATTGTGTATGTTAGTTGATAGGATGATAAATTAGCTAAAAATGAAATTACATAAAAATGGCCTAATTTAAAAAACAAAAAGTTAGACTCCCTCTTTAAAAGGTATTTCATCATAATTTTTGATAAACTTTCACATGCGGCAGATGGTCACTTTTCTCCAGAACACATTGTATAATAACAGTTATTTAAACGTAAAACAAAAACAAAAAAGGGCACATAACCTGAAATCTTGAGGAGAATAACTACTAGATATCCAGCAGTAACAGTAGCACAGACATGATACATTTTTTTAGATTATTTTATATGCATATTTTTTTTTCATCAATTAAGTTTATCTAAATCGTAACACCAGCACCTATAGTCTTCTCGTTAAATTTTCAGGAATGTTCATAAGGCGAGAATCAAAACACTTAGAGGAAAAAAAGGCACATTAGTAATTTCAGTGATATAGATTAAAACCTAGACATTTTGTAAATAATGGATTTTTTTTTTTTTGTTGCTACTACCCATTATAGGATACCATAAGCTCAAATAAGCTTTAGAAAGGTTTTATAACAGTTTATTATTTGGGTTAAATTTAAAATATTTACAAAGCAGTGGGTACACAAACTCATCTTGAGTTTAGCAAGAGAAGTTTTTGTTTTAAATCTCGCAAACCTCTACTAGTGAGTGTCATTGCTGGATGGCTTCTCACACCTCATATTTCATGTAAATATATATATACAGTGTGATCACGATAAGTAGAAACACTACACTCAATAATTATGTGTAGGCTTCATATATTTCGATTCTGCTTTTTCGGCTAACTAATAAATATTATTATACACATTTTCAAATAATATTAGACTATTTTGACAATTAATTTTGCACATACGCACAACAATTTTTTTTTTTTTAATAGCATGATCCATTATTGACCACAAATTATTATTTTTGGTATTTTTCATGTATTTTAGAGGTTGAATTTCTTTTCTAAGTCAAAAAATGACCGAGTTATAGCAATTTGATTTTATATTATTTGCATGAGTGTAACAGATTATAAAATACGTAGTTGGTAATAATAATATGTTATACCCGTGCAAATAACATAAAACAAATTGCTATAACTCTGTCATTTTTTGACTTAAAAAAGAAATTCAACCACTAAAATTCATTAAAAAATACAAAAAAATAATAATTTGTGGTCAAAAATGGATCATGCTATTTAAAACAAAAATTTATTGTGCACATGCACAAAATTAACTGTCAAAAAATAGTCTAATTATTTGAAAATGTGTATAATAATATTTATTAGTTAGACGAAATAGCAGAATTGAAATATATGAAGCCTACACATAGTTATTAAGTGTTTCCACTTATCGTGATCACACTGTATACATATATATGTATGTAATTTCTCTCTCTACCACATGCACTCGTTGAGCCTCTTAGGTATAGATTGTATATTTCAAAAAAATGTAAGCCTCAAGTTAAACATTTATACAGCAAGTTTGACTAATAATTTAAAGTTTAATTAACTAATTTATAGTAGTGCCTATTGTTTATGGTCTAAAAGTAAATGTAATTTTACCAAATTATAGAAACAGTGGTATTTAAGAGCTTCAGCAAATGTTTCATCCAAAATTTATGTTCAGCTTTTTTAATTATGTCCTGTTAAGATTTAAATGATTTTTTAACAATATTTTAACTTTTAAGTAAGTCTTCAGTAATGACTTCAGTATGAAATATATTAAAATTAAAAAATATTTATTATTTGACACCAGCTTTTCAAAATGTGTGATAAAATCCAACAAAAAAACACTTAGTTCTGCCTTTAATTTTGAAAATAGGAAGATTTATATTCACTCTACTATCAAAGCACACACAATTGGTATATAGAGCTGAAAACGGATACAATATATTTTGCTGTTATCGTCTACTTAATATGTTTCTGAAAATGAAACTGTTTTGTCAATGGATCAAAAAATTGTGTCTAGTTTTTAGTATGTCAAAAATCTGGATTGTAATAAATTTGTAATACAATACTCATTATTAGAACAAATACATTAATGTCATACAGTATAATATTAGTTATATTACTAGATAAAATGTGATAAAGTCATAAAGAAGTTTTTAAAAATATGTACATTAATTTGTTGATATTTAGTACACTTTAAACATTGTTTAATATTTGTTGAATTTTGACATAATTGTGTTAAAAAT